TAGGATGTCGATGCAAACACCTGCCACGCCACCTCATCTTCAAACACCTCCTTAGTTTGATTAAAGTACTCCTTCTTAGCTATACCCATGAAGTCGCTGGGAGCGGATCCGCTAGGAGGGTTCCGGACAATTGGCCAGTAGATGGCGGAGAATTTCAACGTAGCGGTGTTCAGAGGTTTCCAACTAAAGATCCAATCAGTTCAAGGTCACAAAGTCAAAGGTGAGTCATATAAACTCACTGGTTCTGGACCTGTTTATCTGTCCGCTCGATCCAGTTGTGGTTCTTGGCTGCTTCGTTGTAATGCTCAGCCACCTTTCCATAGAATATCGCACCAGACTGATTATTTGATTGAATCGTGTTCTCGCTGACAGTGACCCACGAAATTGCCAATTGCTCGTCTTCTAAAACGGTCCAGTTGGGTGATCGAGTCCTGGCTGCTCGTGTAGTACTCGGAGTGGATCCATCCATCAAGAGAAGGTTTGATGAGGTGTGTGATGAGGCGTGGTGAGAGTGATGTGGAGTGGTGTGGGTGTTGGTGAGGTGGGTGCAGGGTTTGATAGGGTGAGACGGGGTTAAATCAAGGGTCGTGGAGTTAGTTAACGCCGGGGTTAGCTGGGAGTAAATTTGACGCCGCTTGAAGATTTTTTAAAGAATATTTAACTAACCCCGGCCTAAAGATTCACGGCTGTGAATTTCGGGTCGGGTTTAGTTAAATATTTAACTAATCCGCCCCGTTAATCCAACGATTGGAGATGCTCTAAGTTATATTTACATGTTATCTCAGAAGATACCTATGCACACATGTCACACCTGTGACATAGTGTGGAGTATCAGAACTGCATTAACCGGAACAACGACGCACAAGCCATCCACACATTCCCCAACACCCCTTTTTCACTCACTCCGCTGCGAATCATCCCCACTTCAAACTCCATTGACATTATCTTCTCAAAAACTACCTATCATGCCTTTAACTCGCTCTAAAAAAACTACGAAAGTTGCCACTAAGAAGAAATCTAATCGAACAAAAAAGAACACTTCAAAATCAACTCGAACGGATCGTGATACTTCCAGTTCTGAAGGTTCAGACACTCATGGAAACCCAGACGCAGATGATCAAGATGGCCTCCGTAACCAAGATGATTCTGCGCCAGGACCTACGCAAAGCAAAGCGAAGAAGTCGACCATCTTTCAGTCGCGTTTCCCCGGTCTTGAAATCAACACGTTTGAACAGCAACTTGATTTATGGACTGTCATCAAACTTCAGGAATCAATAGCTCAACAAAATTCTCGCCGTAGTAAGGCTCCAAAGGAAATCAAGGATCTCATCAAGATTGTTTGAATGGAATTTGAGAAGCGGATCCTAATGATTGCGCTAATGGCTGGAGTGCCTGAAGTCGTTATATTGAACTTGGTGTAAGGCTCAATGGCTCATAGATTTGGTGTTTGTGTGACTTGAACTAACCCACCATGTCTTTTACTTCAGCGGTATGGGTTCAAAGACAGTCAAGGCGAATCCTTGGATCCGATCCGGTTTCTTAGCTTCTGTGTGAAATGTCTTGGTGACAAACATAAGTTGTACACTGTATGGTACTGTCATGCAAATCACTGACTGTTGCTTTTGGTCTTAGTCCCTGAACGTGACGACAAAGATGCTTGGGTGACTCGAAATCAGCAAATGGCAGAGCATTGGCATGCACTGACCCCGGATCAGCAGGACGTCTTCAAAGACCCGTATTTTTTTGCACTGGCGAACCTGCCAGACTACTCTCATGTACCACTTGGCGACAACGAAGATGAAGACACCGATGAACACAACAACGGAGTGAATGTGACACAATTTGACACCGTTGTTCCGACACCAAAAGTTCATCAGCTATCTGAAGAGGATCGAACCAAATATCAGCCTCTCTTCAACAACCTGGTCAACGTAGACAAATTACATCTTTGTCACGGTAAGCCCGAAAGCTCGCCTTCTGTTGCGACTTTACAAAAGAGATCTATGCTTGCTGTTTGCAAGGCTCATCACGATGTAAGTTGTCCTTTTTGTTTTTATGTTGATAAATTCAGGCTTACTGACACAGGGTTTATCTAGTTTTCTGTGGTCTGTCAGCAACACCAAATCTCCTATTATTTGACCGCTGCTAGCTGTGGTGGTGTCGATGGTTGGTCGCAAACGTTTTCTAATAGTCCGAAATTTGCTGATTGGGCACAGAAGACTCCAAAGATACCTGCCAAGTTTAGTACATACGTACATGGGATAGAAGTTGCGCAGGAAATTGAGAAAAAGGAACCGCAACCAAGTGATAAGCGAAAAAGTCAGCTGTGCCACTTACTGAATGGAATGATGAGTAAGTTTTTCCATCTTATTTGATCTTTTCTTTTGTCTACCGAACTCGTCAAATACTCAAAAATTTTTCAAGACTCTCATGTGAAGGGCCAAGCATTCCCAAAGGTCCCAGATCCTGTCGAATACATCAAAAAGAGGGGATGGCCGATTCAAATTGTTCAAAAGGCAGGAAGTCAACTCCAACCTGAAGACCTGGCTCGTGGCCATCGGAAAATCACAGATGCGGTAATTTGGGTATGGCTCAAGGACATCAAGAATAACCTCTTTGTTATTGAAGCAAAACCTAATGATAATAGTCAAATCAACCCAACAGAGCAGGATGGAACACAGCCACAAACAAGTTCTATGCCGATTCAATCCAAACAAAAGAAGAAGAAAACGACTGATCAACAACAAACTAGAGATGTCACTCGAAAGAGGCCAAAGCTTGGCGCTGGTCCAAGTTCTCACCGACATGTTCAAAAACAAAACAGCCGCGAAGGAAGTACTACAACTTTGGAAGAGGAAGAAGATTTAGACTATCAAAACAAGCAACATGATTCGGACGATTCAGACGATTCCAACGATTTGGACAATGTGGGTACAATTTCACCACTTTGCATCTATCTTTGATGCGATCCAAGTCAATTGATGTTGATTTTACTATTACACTTTACAGTAGTTCTAGAAATGCGATCAGCATCTCCCTTAATCCAACTCTGTGACAACACCTGCTTGACCTTTGTTCCACTACTGCTGAGCTACCCCCCAAGGCCTCAAGCGTTGAACATTTCTTTTCATTTATCGTTTTTTCTTTCTTATTTTCTTTCATTCTTGAATCGTCCAGATTCACAAACGCCTGAAAGCCCTCAAACCAGTTATTTCACATCTCACAAGTTTTTCCTTGCCAAACTCTTGTTCTTATAACGTGTCTTTGTATTCCCTACTGCACTTGAATTACATTCTCAAAAAAACAAAACAAAAAATGATGTGGTTCTTGTCCTAGTCCTTTAGATGTTCAATCATGACGTATAGTATCATCTAAATTGTCATTCATATGAATTGCAAGTGAAAAGTTACAGTGGAATCGACTTGTCGATTGATAACTTGGAATTCAAGTCAAGATTGGTTCAAATCCCAAAAGAAATGGATGGCGTGATTTGTGAAGACTTCAAGGAGGTGCTATCATGAAAATGCGAGATATGGTAGCTGTTTAAGTGTGTATCAACTTCAAACTGTCAAACTTACAAGTTCATCAGAACTGGGGTGTGGAGTGTTTATCAAGCCTTCATTACTGAGAGTCCGGTTGAAGTGTTGAATATACACATGTGACGTTTGAAGTTTGTTGACTCAGGACTCTAGTAAGGTGTATGTGTTGTACGTTGAGTGAGGAAATTGCCGAGTTGATAATGACAGTTGTGTGTCTCGTCTCAATGAAGGTTGATAGGCAGATGGATGGAAGCAAGATGGATGTAATCAAACGAGATGAAATCAAGAGAGGTATTGATGACTTGAGGTGTATAGGCAGAAGGATGAGGAGGTTTGATGCCTTTGATCCACCGACGATGAGTTGACCAGGTCAGATTGAGTGCTCTAAGAATTCTCAGAGCGCTCTGAGGGCGTCTCAGAGCGCTCTGGGAAGGCCCAGAGCACTCAATCTGACCTGGTGACCTTGGTTTGAAAATTGAAAACTTTCAACTCAATAAAATTTGACAAAAAACTGGCTATGAGTAGTTGATGAGCCAAAAAGAAGAGTGATGATGTTTTTTTGACTTTGAACTTGGTGTTTGGAGGTTGGAAAAAAGTGTTCCAGGTCACCTGGAATGCTCTGCTGCGAAAGACTGGCTCAACGCCCTTCATAACGTGTCATTTGTCAAGGGCTGGTATGTCACTCAGTAGAGGTGACACAGGTGGATTGAGATAACCAGTTGTAGCCCGTGCCACATTGTCTTTTCTCTTTTCCTTCATCCAACAATCACTATAGGGAATCCAGATCACCTGATAAGAACTGCAGATTGAGACCTCCAATCCTATCATCAGAACCCTACAAAGACGCTCTTAACAGAGTTGGGATCCGAAATATCATAATCACTTTCTTTCATATGATCACAACCACATATATAATCAGTAAGCTGGTTATCATCACCCATATCCTTGCCATCATCACTATAAAGTTTGAAAATTGATGCTTTTGAGCTTAAACCTTGTTGACTGGTTGATGATTCACATTGCTTTCCTTGTTGCTTGTGTGAAGTTTTCAGTTGATTGGTCTTGAATTGAGAATTAAAAGTTGCTTTAGCTTGGATTGAGGTAGATGATGTTTTTTCAAAGAAAGTGGAAGAATCAAAGTCAAAAAGCCGGATGCAACATAGTTGCCATGACTAAAGCATTACAAGAAAGAGCTTCATCTAGATACACCTGTGTCTTTTGCACCATTGCAGCCAACATTGGGTATAAGGTGTCGGACTTGTTGAGAGAATCTAATTGATCTTGCAACGTCTGACACAATTCAATGTATTCAAGGATTACCATGCATCCAGCGGGTTTCCTCCCTTCCATTAGCTTTGCGGCATCAATAAACCACATAAAAACATGTTGGAAAAGTCAATAGGATGCAAGATACAAACTGGGTTTGATTCAAATATTTGAAAATATTACATACCTTCAGTTCTGCATTAATGTTTTGTACTTGAGCCCATTCCGAAGGTGTGATTGTCAACTCGTGGAAGTAACCATGTGGCTTACCATTCTTACAAGGCCGTTAATTTTTTGCATGTACTCTGGCAAGATTGTCCTTCAAAAGCTGATCAATGACCTAGATAATGATGAAATCTATAAGCAGCTATATAAACATTTGAAATGAAGTGAAAATCTTACATCTCAAGCCTTCAAAGCTTTATCACGACTAATGTATGTGATGTTCCAATGGATTCCGCAGGTCACAATTAATGACTCAAGTCTAAGTCCCATGCTGTTCATGACCCAATCAAATTCCTTCTGCCATGCTGCAGACCATGTGATCCGGCGGAGAATGAAATCAATCTGATGGATCAAGAAACTTGTGACCAAATAATTAGTATACATAAATGAAAGACCTAATTCTGACTAGATAAGAAGACTTACCTTGTCTAACAGTGCATCCAGCTTATTTGCTTTGTGTTGATGAGTTGGTTGCACCTTTCTATGATTGGCTTGAGCCACTGCGCTTTGGCTAAAAGCAGTGGATTAGTCTCATCCTCTACATCAGCAATGTCCCAATCATCTTCTTCATCTTGCTGCCCATTGGGTTCATCCTCCTCCTCTTCTCTTTCCACCATTTCCTGAAGATCTGGTTCATCATCAGAGTCAGCTGCGTCAGGTGGGACTGATAAATCAGCAATATTGGATATGGGAACAGGGGCCTTGGTCTTGTCTTCTTCCTCCGCAATGTAAGTTTCAAAATCTGGAAAGTGGCCTTGCATGGCAGTTTTGACCTTCCTAGGTGGTGAAGTCTTCAGTCCAAGTCCCGCTAGACCAAATCCTACTATCAAAGCCATTTTGTGACAAAAGCAAAATATATGCATTGAATCTGGATCAAAGGTGTAGTCAGATACACTCACTGTAAACATCATTCAACTTCCCCAATTTGGCAGAGGAAAATGATTAATAGTACAGTTTTTCATAAAAGAATCTAATACTGCACACCTGGGCCATTTCACCCACACTACATATGTGCAGCAAGCTAAGTCAATAGTTGTCTATCATGTACATACAGGTCTGCTCAGTTTTTTGCCCATCAGAATAAATAAATCACATGTTATACCACATGTAACTTTTTCGACTTTGAAATTTTTTTCCCAAAAATTCACTACATATAATTCTGTAGCTGCTCAGGCAATATTGTTGAAGCTATGTCTTAGTAACAGAAAGTGTGTTACATGCAGTTGAGTTGATGAGATCACACCAAAACATTGAGTCAGTGTATGTAGTCAATCTTTTGGAAGCTTTTTTCAATCTGAAAGAAGTTACAGCATGTATTACATATGAATAACTTGTCCTGATGAGCAGATAACTGAGCAGAACTGTATGTACATGATAACCACATATTCACTGAGCCTGCTACACATATGTAGTGTGGGTGTTATGGCTCAGGTGTGGAGTGATAGACCATTTTATGACAAATCATACTCCCAATCATTTTTCCCTGCCCACTTGGGGAACCCGAATAATGTCTGCAGTGCTACACAAAATATAATATTTTCTGGGCGGAAAATATAAATACTGCCACGCAAAAATATTGAGCAGTCAGGAAGAGAGAGAAAAATACAAAAAGATGTGCATATTGTTCCTATGGTTGAGACCTTTGATTTGAGTATTTGTTTGTATTTTTAGTGTGAAAATTGTTGATTGTACTAACATAAAACCTCAAGGATCATCAGATTACAACCTGTAACAGACATTGGAATTTGGCTAATGGGTGACAAGGGGATAATTTGAATTCTACTATCTCTTATATCTTTTTCAATTCTTGGCCAAACCACTTGATTTTGGGTTCATTGGAAAGCTAACCTCTGTGACTATATCTTTCATTGTGACAGGAACGCTGCATCTGATTCCAGAAAAAATCTATGTGGCTATATATGAAATAGCTTCAAGGACAAATAACTTTTTCTGCAGCGGAGCTACAGATTTGATGCATTGAGGTAACAGTGGAGTGAAGTCCATGGCTTTCTAATGAACTAATTATCAAGTGTTTTGACCAAGGATTGCAAAAGATATGTAGGATTTTAGAACCAAAATTATCCCCTTGTCATTCATGAGCCAAATTTCAATATCTGTCACAGGTTGTAATCTGATAATCCTGGAGGTTTTTTGTTAGTACAATCAACAATTTTCACACTAAAAATACAAAAAAATACTCAAATCAAAGGTCTCAACCATAGGAACAATATGCACATCTTTTTGTCTTTTTCTCTCTCTTCCTAACTGCTCAATATTTTTGCATGGCAGTATTTATATTTTCCGCCCAGAAAATATTATATTTTGTGTAGTGATAGATGTGTCTGCATCACAAATTGGGTGTGCATTTCTCTCGCCATTGTTGTGTTGTTGGAACCAGAATCAGTTGTCTGGCAAAGGAGGTGCAGAATGGAGTCGCGGTCAGTGAAGAGAAATGTGCAAAATTGAAAGACTTATCTTATTTACTAATCCACATTTGACAAAGATGTTGACCATGGGCTCAGCAAGCCACTTTCCCTTGTGCTCCCATGCTACAAGCTTGAGCGTCAAGTGCCGGCCCACAAACTGCCACTGATTGTTGATGTACGTGACACCAGCACCAATAAAGGTGTGTCGGTTTCCCTTTGTGGTCCAGACATTTTAATGGAGGCTGATCTTGCTGGTCAGACTCTGCAGGAAACACAGATACAGGTGCTCAGATGGATGATGAAGAAATAAATGAAGACAGAAAGTGAATGAAACAACATACTGTGAGCTCTTCAAACACTACCTTCTTCGATGACAAATTCAGCCATTTGGCTTCATCGGCAGCCCATTTCCGACCGTACAATCTTGCTTCACATTGAAGATAAGTTACAGCTGAGCGGAGCCACTTGTCGGTCATGCGGTTCCAGGGTGGGGCTTGAGAACTCATCCAAACACTAGGAGGGGACTTAGTTAAGTTAGGTCAAATATCATTTCAGAGGAACATTTTGATTCAGTAAGTAGACACATTCTTCACCATAGGCTCCATGTGCTAGTCCTTTTGAGGAAACCGAGTAGCTTTTTGTGTTGGCCTCATGACCTGCAGATAATAAATGACAGGACCTTGGGCAGTTGTGGAAGGGGATAGTTATCATTTCAGTCCACTGGATTTGAGCCACTCATCTGGATCAAGAAGACACCAAAATAATCTGATTGAACCAGTGCATCACATCTTTCACTGTGAAGACATTTGGTCTAAACATGACACCGCGGGAATCAATCGGTCTGAAACCCGATTGGAGAAAGTTGCGGTGACAGGGTCCGCAACTTTCTCCAATCGCTAATTGTGTTCACAATTGGTTCACAATTGGTTTGCTGTATGCCCTCGAGAGAGCACATTCAAAGCTAGTAGCAGCTAGGCACGTGGTAGCACTTCCGAATGGTCTTGATACATTGTGCCAGAGTGTATCCGGTGTGATTTAACATTGTTTTAAAAGAAATGATTTGCTTAGGACCCCGGTACATACTCCCTCTAAAGGGTACTTATCTGTGGTTAGTACTCCTAAGAAGTTTTGTCACCTGTTCAAAAGAGACAATGCTTGTCGTGTCTGATCTTGGAATGAGGCTCTAATATTTTATAAAGAGGTACAGTCAATTGCAGAAAGCTTGGAAACTTTTGCCCGCCAAACTTGGGCAAATTGGCGTGGAATTCTTTCCAAGCTATGTGAAATTGACTGTAAATTGAACAAGGTTGAAACACGGCACAAAGCCTGATAGCTCGCAACCGTGACGGTATCGATGATGTACAGCGAACCAATTGCGAACGCATTGCGAACACAATTAGCGATTGAAGCAAGTTGCGGACCCTGTCACCGCAACTTTCTCCAATCGGGTTTTGAACCCATTGATTCCCGCGGTGTGAGTGCCTTGTGAAACAGAAAAAATATGAGTGAAGCTCTGTAACTGACGAAGTAAGATGGTAACAAAACAAACTCGACAAAGTACTTGCTATTTTCAAACCCTTTGTCACGTGGCTTATGACTTTGTAAAGTTTTGTTGAAAAGAAGCTGTTTGATCAATTGGTTACCGCATCATCCGATTAGCATTACATGTTATTCGACGAACCTGTATGCCTGCAGGACTGTCGAGAACTGAACCATAGATCTCAACATTGCATTTAGAGGCCTCAATGTAGGTGGATCTATGGGATGTTATCAAAGACTTTACAGAATTCTAATCTTATAGCAATTCCGAACCAAAACTTGTACATTTTCAAAACATAGTGCAATAAAACTATATCAAACACCGGTCCTTCCACGACCCTTAACCAGTCACTCACATCGAAACAAAGTATATGTGGGCGAAAACAAGATAACATAGAAAAATAAAGTACGGCGGCAACTTGCGAGGTCAAAAGATTTGATCACAATGATGAGTTAAACTGGAGACTTGATCGCTGCACTTACCGCTGATGAAATGCTTTTACACCTTACTGCAATGGTGTATGTGTCGCATGGATAAGCAGACGACTGGAAGATTGGGAGATGTCCTTTGTGATGGTTTATCAGGACATACGAGCTGATGGAGAGGCGAGCAGCTAGGTAGCAAACTTGACTACAGCATTATCTTATCACTTTCCACATCAAAGCTTTTCCTTTACTCCTTCTGTCGACGTGTCCTTCTGTGACGCTACGACGGCCTGTTGAGGTGCTGTAATCATCGCCACTGCTGCATGAGTAGTAGTTGGTGAGGCAGATGATTTTGTTGTATTTGGAGATGTTTGCGTTGCGACACCTGAAAAATCTGGCGAAGATGTACCGTGAGGGGCAGGTGTGGATTTGTTCGATGCCAGCCTTTGGTCTAGCGCTTTCAAAGCCATGGCTCTGTATGGAAAGATATTACACCATACATCAGGAACATATAACGATGTACTTTCAAAAGTGACGATGAAACAGGATCAACCTTCTCCTTTCAGCTTCGGCTCGGGCACCCCCAGGTACGGGTACATATCCTGATTCAATATCAGGGGCGCTCCATGGTTTGAGCAGGCCGACTTTGACTGCCAATGAAAATATGATATCGGATGCACGACGTATCAAGGGCCTGTAACGAAGGTTGGGTTGGCATGGCAGCGGAATGCAGAGATTAGACAACCAAGATTGAAAACCAAAGACCGAAACCTACTGCACAAAGCCCGGAAACCAAGAAGCAAAATCAAAAGTGGCACTTCGATCACCTCTGAAATCGCCAGTTTCGTTATATTTGATGAATCGGAGGTAATACCAAGACACAAGCCAGCCCATTTGAATGAGGATAAACGGGGATTGGTGACCAAGTAAACACATCACGTTCGAAAGGCCCACATAAAGCATGGGTAGGTTCTGGGTGAGACATATGTCTATCAGTTAGAGTGACCTGGATATTTTGAGCCGTGCGTTGTTGTTCGTCACCTTGACCCGTATCTTGATCACGCCAAACAGCTGGACAAGGTGCTCCGGGATCAACTGCGTGAATGCAACCAAAAATCCAGCCTGAAGCGCCATCATCCCATGGTAACTCATGCCATACCTGATAAGATCAATAGACGTCAAACATGTTGGATTATGAAGAGGCCGGTGAAAGGGTCGGGAAACAGTAAGCTTCGGCACTTACAAGAACGTCCCACTATCCTTGAGAACATAATGTTCCGCGACGTTGACAGCGACGCATAAAACATTCGAAACGCCGATCGTCACCAAGCAAAACTTGACAAATTCGACTAGACCATAAACCCTCTCTAGATACCGTCCACAAAGCGAAAGGGCCATCACAGAGAAGAATAGCTAAGTTTAAAAGCATATGTCGCAAGAGTTTCATGACAAGGAGGTATATTAGCTCTCAAGGTTGACGTCTCAGCTGCAATCAATCGATCAGTAAGACTTCCATGCCTGACCTCGACAAGTCCAACCTCGCATAAGCCTGCAGTAAGTATGGTCCAGGGATTCCACAGAACGCTTCCGGGAACCATGACAAGCCAGGGAAAAGCCAGACTGTCGTCCATTCGTCCACGAAACACAGCTTTCAGGTCCAGTTCAGAAAGGCTGAATCGGAAGAGTTGAATTAGGGTGGATAATCCAACCATCAACGCAACAAGGACTTTGGTACCGGGTGGCAGCTGAAGAACAAAGCCGATGGGGCCTGAGCTTGTCAAGAATCTTCCTGACATCTTCGAATCAGTTGATCGGTTGATTGGTGTGCCAGAATGTTGTAAAAGTTGCTCAAAGTGAAGTCAAGGTTTGCTTTGGTGAGCTTCTATTGAGTGAGATGAAGCTGTATGCTAACGGTCAACGGTCCACTTTAATCTTTCATGATCTTGGTTGTACATATGTACATTTATGGGTTTTACTAGGTTTATCATTGATGCGTCGCGACACATGTCGCTCCCGTGATATCTAAGATCTCCTCTCGCGCAAATACGTGTAACAGCTTCATGACAGTCCAGTCTGCAGAGTCTGTACACGAGAAGTCTCAAAAGTCTCCGCAACATGGATATGTCGTGCTGCATCACTTTTTGATTTCCTTCAGGTGAGGTGCATGATTGTACCTGACCAAGACTTTTTGGATGAGTTCCTGCTCTTACAAGGCAGACCCATGGACACGACATCACACTGCGCGAGGACCCAGATTCAGAAGGCTTGACAAAAGATCCAGCTGACTGAGAATCTCTATGTATATTTTGCTACCTGTTGTGCTTTACTATGTGATATAGACCAATCATGATACACCACAAAGAGAATCACAATTCTATAATGACCACCAATAGATACTCCTGTGTATCAAGAGAGAGGGCTTGGACAGGGGAATAAAGCAAAGAGTCGGACGGTTCTACAGATAGCCAACTGGTCAATAATCAGTAGAGAAGAATATCTTGATTCCGCAGAAGCTTCTGTTTTTCTTGTTGTTCTTGGAAGTGTGGGCGCCAGCGTCCCTGCTGAAAAGTCTCAGACTCTTCACCCAAATCTAGGCTGTCATTTCTCGTGTGTTAAACTTGGAATTCGGATTGGGAAGACAAGAATAAGGAAGATGAGATAGTCCAAAGTACTTGGATTCGCTGAGTGCGCGGGAAGACACGGAGTCGAATAACGCGATGAGATAGACGTCCTGGCCGGTGCTAGAGCAGATACTTCCATATTAAGCTCTCGAAGGACAGTCTTCAGAGCAATGCTTTGCCGAACTGCGCACCAATCGGTCTAGACAACACCGCCTCATCTGGGCCCTAAGAAACAATCTGTGTGTGGGGTCGACGGCTGAACGGGTCCGGAGTGTTAGACTTCCTCAGATGGTGTCCTCAGATTTCAAGTACCGCACCTTACAAGATTGTAGAATCAGAGAAAAGTGTATCTTATCTTTTCTAATCGTGATATGAGTTTAAGTGGATGAAGCATCGTCGCCATCCATCCCATCTGAGATCGACTCGGCCTCAAAAGGCGTCGACATTGGGTCTGTCGGAGGTGGAAGTACACAATTGTAAATGAAGGGTGCTGGATTGCAAGGCTTCAATCCCCAGATAAGTACTTTGCAAGTGTCTCGTTGCTTCCTAGCCAGAAATCAATGAAATGAAGGTGTTCATGGGTATTTTTTTGGATTTTTATTCCCCAACGAAACAACAACTCACAGTAATCGGATGGGCCCCCGCTATCGAGCTTGATGAAGGGATCACAAATTTCACGTTACCACAAAGATGACACGTCTAAAAATAATAACAAAGAGCCTACCTGCATCTAACATGGTGAAATCTACATTGATTACATGATCAGACATCGTTGAACTTGACGTTAGAAAAAAATTGATTGTGATTTGGGGCATCAGTAGAAACCCCGGTCAGTAACCATTATCTGTCAAGCTTTGTAGCCATGGATCAAAGCTATTGGCCCAAATTGTTTTGGATTTTGCATACCTTTTTCCATCCAACTTTCTGGTGCTTTGCAAATACTGGACCCTTCAACCCTTTGAGGTCTTCCTTTTGGGGTAGAAAACATTGGCAATTGAACCAAACACAAAGCCGTACAATTACGTTAAGGATGAAAGAAATAAGATTTGAGGTGACAAACATGAAGCTTCTCTGCGCAAATTGAGGAAATGCCAATAGAACAAGAGCTGAAAGATGTAAAAAATAGATTTACAAGCAAGATTGACAATGATACATCATACTTGTTCAAAACATTAATGATGACCTGGTCAAGATATGGACAAAGACTTGGTATATTCAGGTCACCAGAATTCTTCAAGGAATAAGGGGTCACGGCTTCTATTTACAAAGGTTTCATCAGACAGTTTTTTTAAGATGAGTGGAAGTAATTTCTGAGGAGATAAGCAAGACATGGCTCAAAGAATTAAAGAGAAAATAATGCCAAGAATTGAAGAGAAGATTTTATATGTCTCTTTCAGCAAACTTATAATCAAATCCTGGTGGTCAAGTGAAAGAGAAGCACCTTAGATTGGGAAGGTGAACACTTTTAAGGAATCATCTCCTGTCAATGTATTTGAGAGCCACTAGTAAGAATTTCTTTTGCCAGCTTGGGAGTTTCATCTTATGATGGGATATCATAGCAAAGAGGGACACCTCTGGCATTATGCCACTATAGTCAAGAGGCTACCAGAATGTTGATTATAGCAGAGTTCTGTGGAGTTGCAAGGGCACTATTCTATTGAAGCAACAACTGGGGGAACCCATAAGCCACCAGGGAAGCTTCAGCTACAGCAAATCTACTTCTGTCATAACTCTGAACAGAAGCAGTTGTTTGAGCAACCCTAGCAGCAACTTTTGCAGGAGGTGGTCTTCTGGTGTAATCTGCAACTACCTCATTGAGGTTTTTTTTCAACTTTGCTTTGGCCGCCAGAAACTCTTGAGGATTGGCAGTAAGCCTCTGGGCCATCTTTTCTTTGATGGTAAAATATATATAGTCCGAGTTATTCTTGATGTAATTTTTCCAAGCTTCAACCTCTGCAATATCCGCCTCTTCTAGAAGTTGATGCTGGGTGATTTTATTGACATCAAATTCAGAGGAGATGGGGAGGCTAACTGTTGGGGGAGTCCCAGTAGTGCCCTGGCCCACTCAGGAACAACTGAAGTGAACCCTGTGTAAATGTTAGAGTGAGGTGCTTTTCCTAAGTGTGCATCTTCATTATTTTGGTTATTTCCAATGGTTCCCAGAACATGGTTTCATCTGTGGAACTTTGGGGCTACCTTGAGAGCTCATTCCTAACCCCTTTTCATCAATAAAATTTCACATACCACCCCAATATGTGGTGTCATACCCTTCTACTTTTGTCTGTGTTGGTTCTTGCTCACACTACATATGCCCGTTCCCAGTCTTCATTGTGCTAGATGGGATTGACCACAAAATACTTACCTCCCCCTTTGGTAAAAACAGTCGCACAAAGTTTCATATGCAACTTTTACATAACATTGAGAAATTTTCTCATTGTGTGTGTATGCATAAAAAGACATGACACTGCCTTACGTGAAGAAAGACATTTGGTAAACTTGTCAAAGGTCACATTTTACAATCATTGACAAGGTTACCAGCATTTGCCATTTGTTAAACACAACCTTGACAGCTCTGTCTGGGCATGCCTCATTCAAGGAATACCTAAACATGCCTCTTTCCCTGTCAACCTGGCTCATGGAAAAATGGTGCTCTCAAATTGCAATCTCACAATTCCTAAGCCCAGATAATTCTTCCAATCATTGCAATTTACAGTCAATTGTTTGTGACAAAGATATATTCTTCAAGCTTGTATCAGATTCCAGCAGTATAAGACATATATTGGTACATAGATACATAAGATTGGATACATAAGGGTGTCAACATTGCAGTGATGCCTCAAATACACTACACAACCCAAAGATCATCAGTCCAGACAAAAGTACGGGGAGTTAGCAGCTTGATGTGTCCAGATGTTGAGCCAGAGGATAAAGACTTGGATTTGCTCGTGGAAGGTTTTCTATGGACTACTCTTGGCAAAATTGAATGACATCTGTGACAACATATTGGAGTTGGAAGCACTTAGGATCAGTAATCTATGATCTAAGTCTTGTTCATCCATGGCATTGCCCATAACCAAACTCTAATTCTTCAGATTTCATCCAATTAAAATTGCCTTCAGTTGAATTTAAGATGATAAGTTTTGAATTTGAAAGAATACAATTTAAATGAAGAAGTTTTGAATTTGATTTAGTATTGATTTTGAATGATTGGGATTTGAATTTGATGGAATCAGCTTTTTATTAAGATAAACAAGACTAGTTTTAAGTTGGTAAGTTTTGAAATCAAGTGAATAGAATAAGGCAATTGATAAACCACACCGACATGAAAGCTGGTTTGACGCCTGTTTTTCTCAAACTGGATTCCTTCGGAAGATATACAGCTCCATACGTCAGTATAGCAGATGTAAGGAGCTGTACTAATCTGTACTAATTCTAAATCATTCAGGTCCTTTCTGAAGCCGGTATCTGAGTCATTTCTGCAGCTGGTTTTTCAATCCTATTGTTTGACAAAGTTGTTTTGTAATGGGAAAACAAGTAGACATCATCCAGACGGATTGTTCATTTCCTAACCCCCAAGAAATGTAATTCAATGTATCCTCTGACAGCAAAAATAATCTTGCGTTCCAAACCCCTATATAGATGGCTCACATAGCTGCACCAAAAAATCCAGCGCTCAATTCTTCTCATGGCCATTAGCAATAAGTTGCAGAAAGTAGAGACACGTCAACCTTGGTAGAATTAAATAAGGGGGCATATGTTGTGAGATGGTCAAAGCAACAACTGGCCCTTGGTAGAGAACATGTTCTCTGTCTTGCATCAAAGTCATCAAGCCTGAATATGACCTTTGCCAAAGATTATGTCGCAACCTTTGTGAGTTCATGATCGCACTCCGAGCGCTGCCTGTTTCTTTGTTTTGATCTCTACACATTCATGTATATTCTTGCCTTTTGGCTTTCTTTCTGAAGCGGACTTCCTATGTGATCAATTCAGATTAGTACAGCTCTGTACATCTGCTATACTGATGTACGGAGCTGTATATCTTCCAAAGGAATCCAGTTTGAGAAAAACCAGCGTCAAACCAGCTTTCAAGTCGGTGTGGTTTATCAATCACCTAGACTAAAGGGAGTCAAATCAAAGGGAGTCAAGTCAGGATTGGTTTTCAGAGTGACAAAAAGTGAGAAATGTTAGACAGGGATGACAAGTAAAAAAACCAAAAAAAATTGTGAGGTCAAGGGTTGATATTGTTACGACCAGCTTCCGGGGGTTGTGGGAC